CTGTCCCGGAGGATATGAACCCTCCCAGGGACCGGTACAGACCGGCGGGCTGCTCGGTGTGGCATGGTAGGCCCGAAAGGCTGAGTTGCGGGCTGTGCAACAGGCAAAGGCTGAGTTGCGGGCTGTGCAACAGGCAAAGGCTGAGTTGCGGGCTGTGCAACAGGCAGAACCAAGCTGATCACGTCGTCCTGACTGCGACGTTAAAGAATTCCTAAGGAGTTACGGGGGATCTCCTTAAATGCCTCCTGATCAGCCACTGGTTCAGTATTGACAGCCATAGTGTAGGTCTAGGCTAGCGACCATAGCTGACAGGGTTCTATACGAATCCTGTGGTCCTTAGAGAGTCTGTCAGTAAGTTTTGCGGGTAGGTCTACGTGGTGAGGAGTGGGACTGTCCTGTTGTGCACCTATCACCATGGATGATTACCCGATGTACGGGTTGCTCGTGGGGTTCTCCCTTTGGGGGACCCTTTGGCGTTTCATTTTCCCATTGGGATTCTGGAACACGTTTTCGTGTAGGGTAGAGACACGTACGGGGACGGGTACCTCGCCCTACACGGCCGAGCAGGAAGCAAAGGCCGCCGCGATCCTGAAAGAGAGGAGAGAAAAGGAGGCCAAGAAGAAGGCCTTACTGGAAGCGCAGGCGGCGAAGTTGAAGAAGATTGAGGAGGAGATGGCTAAGGAGAAGGAGAGGGTGAAGAAAGAAGAAGAAGCGAAGTCGAAGGAAGTGGAAGAAGAAGAAGAAGTAGAGGAGGAGCCACCGGAGAGAGGAAGAAGAGGAAACAGAGGGGAGTCCAGTGAGACAAAGGAAGACTTGATGGAGAAGAAGACTCCAGAGTGGGTTGCAGGACTGACCCTGGGAGAGGATGAGGAGGCGTTAATGTATGTGCCCAGGGACGAGTAGGAGGCGGCCGTGCGAGAGTGGGAGGCTGAAGAAGACCCACTCAAGCGGCAAGTGCTCGAAGATGAGAAGAGGATGGAGTGGAAGTTCCGCCTCACTAGGGAGAGGAAGAGAAGAATCGAGGCGGCAACAGAGGCGGCGAAGGAGTTGGAAGAAATCCGGAAGCAGAGGGATCAGATGGCGGTCCAAGTAGATTTACTGGGAAAGGTAGAGATCCTGGCCAAGAACGTGGAACGCCTGGCAAAGGTCCAGGAGGAGCATCTTTTATTTGGTAGAGGCCAGGACATTGCCGTGCGTTCGATACGGTCGGGACTTAGGGACTTTGCTCGGGAGTTGGCCATGTAGGTGGGCTCGCATGTGACAGCCCGCCTCGAGGGCACTGAACGATACTGTGCTGGTGCCATTGAGGGCGCCAAGCTGACTGCCCCAAAGGAAGAAGAAGCACGCCCCCATAGGGAGCCGGTCAAAGTTAAGTTTCCTGACTCCTACAGTGGAAAGAAGGAAGAGAAGTTTGACAATTGGGAGGCCAACGTTAAAACGTACGTGCACCTGCAGAAGGTGTCCCCCGATGAGCAGCTCCTAATCGCCATCCATGCGTTAAAGGAAGAAGCCGCCAGTTTTGCACGCTCCTTAGTCCGCGCTGCTAATTGTAGCGACGATGTGGTTGCCTACTCTGCCTTCACCCCCCTCGCTGACTTTCTTAAGTTGCTACGCGAACGATTTGCAGATGTCTCGCGCAGCGTCAGAGCCTCTGATCGATCGCAAACCATCCACTCTCGTCAGTGGAGGAGTGCCAAGGCACTCAAGGGAGTAATGGATGAGCTAGTGGTTGTTCCCGACCATGGGGTCACAGAGACCCAGCTGGTCAACCTTTTCTACCGGGCTATGCCCGAGTCGTTGCGTGGGCACTTCTTTGAGAAGAGCCAGCAACCCACCATGACCTACGACACATTGAGCAGGGAAGTGGTGGTGTTTGAAGCAAAGACTGTGTCAGTCTCCACTTTCTGGCACAAGGACTTGGATAAGGGAAAGAAGTGGAAAGGTCGCACTATCTCAGGGCAAGTGAAGACAAAGGATAACCTAGTTCTTACTTTAGACGAGGGTAGTGTCGATGAGATCCCCTACGATCAGATAGAGTGGGGGGCTCGAGGAAGATGGCAGTAGCAGTAGTCAGGGGAGGACCTACGCTGCTGTCGCGGCTGGAGGTAGGTCGCAAGGAGGAGGACGAGGCTAGGGCCAAGGGGGCCGGGCCTCAGGGAACCGTTCCCAGGGCGATCAGGGGGTTGGTGGCAGAGGAGGAAACCGCCAAGCGGGAGGAAGGGGTCAAGGTCCCCCGCAAAACCGGTTTGGGAATAGGTCCCCTTATAGGAGAAGTGGATGGCACCCAGGGCTGCCACAAGGCAGGCCTTGGGAAGATCTGGGCCTGGACCAACGCTTATGGCAACAGCGTGTGAACCAAGGGCAGTGCATCTACTACGGTGACCCTGGCCACATCATTAAATACTGTCCGAAGTATAGAGAGGCTCGTTCGGCTGCACAGGAGGCAAAAGGCAGCCGGCGGTAGGGGTAGCAACTGCCTCTACCATAGGGCCATGTGGAGATGAGTCAGCAAGCCGACACGAATCTCCCAAACCACATGAGCCCATGGCAGAAGTTGCAGGCCAGTGCCTAGATAGCTGCCCAGAGACTGCGTGTGTTAGAGTCTCTCTAGGCACTTCCCTCGCAGCCGTGGCAGAGGAATTGAAGGAGAGAATGCCCGCCTGGGCCAAGATGAGGAAAGAGAATAGGGGGCAACTCATATTAGTAAATACAGAGATTTTTAGAGGCCAAGTTGGCGCCTTAGTGGATAGTGGAGCCACTCGCAGTTATATTAGTAGGAAGGCGCTGCAGAAGCTGAAGTTGCAGTTGAAAGTCCAACGACTAGCAGACCCCATAGTAAGTATCCTCGCGGACAATCGTACCATGCGAGTAGAGGAGTACGTAGAGGGAGTCCACGCGTATTTCCACCTAGAAAAAGATGGGAAGGTGGAGAAAGTTCTCCATTCCCTGACTCTCCTCGTAGAGGATAGCCTCCCGTTTGACATAGTCCTAGGTATGGACTGGGGAGAGGCAGCAGGGGCCACACTCCATTTGAGGGAGCACGAGTGTAGGCTCCCTAGTCCATCAGGCGGTGTCAAGACTACCCGTCTGTTTCATGTGTCAGGAGTAGACAACTCCCTGGCACACTGCTGCCTTAGCGCTCCTGCGTTCACAAGGCTAGTGAAAAAGGAGCAGCTAGAGGAACAAGTTTTTGTAGCCTATGTTAGGTCAGTTACTGAGCCTAAGGAAGAGAAGCCTATAGACCCTGCTATTGCCAAGCTGCTGGAAGAATTCACAGACTTAGCGAAGTCGCCGATAGGAGTAGTACCACGACCGATCCAGCATCGTATTGAGATTGAGCCTGGCAGTAGGACCCCCTCCTGTACCTGTCGGATTCGCCCGCTCGCTACTGTCCGTCGTAGCCCCACGCGTCAATCCCGCACATTCGGCACCAGCTCGTTGGGTCGCCCAACTCCCACTTCAACTCACCTCTTACTTCGCTCGTGAGTCGACCCTCACTGATCGCGCTACCCCGAGCTTCCAGCAACTGTTTAAGAGAGGTATCTAATCGCGCAGCCGGAATTTATAGCGTGCATGCATGCGCGAAGAACACGGAATTGCAAGGACTTAGGAAGAGAGAAGGGAAGAGATTGTCTACGTTCTGCATGGTCAAACTGAGGCGTGGGGCACGTAGCCACTCTCCACGCATTGATCCGATCATGCAGCCCGCGGGCCGCCTAGACACAGGAAAGAAGAGAGAGGGCGGGAAAGACGAAGCTCAAGAAGAAAGATACAGTTACAAGGGCGCCCTGCCCAAAATTACAGTTACACGCAAGAATCGACAAGATTAAGGGCGCCGACTAATCAGAGCTCGGTCGCAGCCGCAAAAAGAAGCTCATGAGCAAAAAGCACCGCGCGACAAACAGAAATTCCGAATTCCTAAGTTCCTAATTCCTATTTACGCAAAAATGCAAAAAGAACTTTAAAGCACAAATCCCGAAAAGAAAGTCCGAAATTCCAAGAGCCATCGAGGGATCGACAAGATCCGAAAAAGAAATTCAAAAAGAAACAAAACTTTCCGCCTGATCGCCGCGCCAAGAACCCGACAACAGAACAAGGAAGAAGCGACGTCAATCATTATTTATGGCGCCTCTGTCGGCGCGCCAGCCACTCAATCAGCCATCACGGGACTCGCCCGTCTCTGAACCCAGCCATCCGAAAAGAAGCGATGCGAAAAGACGAAGAAGCGAGGACACCGATGCAAGTTTCCCTTCGATCCCGATCTCCCGTAATTGGCTCATCCTTCCCATCTTAGGACCCCTCATTGTCCTCGCGCAGAAGATCGTGCGGAACAGAAATCAGTTTGTCGCATATGTGACGCCCAGGGGGTTCCAATCTTAAGCAAGCTCCTGCTTGACGTTGCGACACGTGTCGATCTCTCTAATCGATCGACACGCGGAGCTCTCCACGCTGCCACTTACGGTGTGGTAAGAGTGTGGAAGTCATCCAATGGGGCATACGTGGCTTTATCCTACAGGTTCCCAGGAAGGGCTCTCCTCAATCGAAGGAGGGGATCGTGCGCGCCATCGCCGTGACACATGCCATGCAGTCGTGCATCAGTAACTAGCAGGGAGAGGAAAGGGAAGGCGGTACATGGGGGCGTGTTGAGGGGGCGTGTTGAGGGGGCGGGTTAGTCGGGAGTGGGGGTAGGAAGCGTTCCATTCCCGCGACTGCCACCGGAAGTTCCAGATATCGGACGATCCGATGGAAGCGCGTGAAACGGGTACCTTCATGGGGGAGAGACGCAAGGTAGTCGGGATAGAGGGTTGTGAAGGTGTGAAGGAGGGCTGTCTGAAACTGATCATGGTTTTCACATGCGGGGATAGTCCCTGTAATCATGCAATAAACCTCGATCATGTTGTGGCCTCGCCACGCGGCACTGAAGAGAAGGACATGGAGACAAAAGACAGGGGTGGCGCACCAAGTAGAGGCGTGCGGATGTACCGTGACAGCGAGGCGGGTAGTGTGGAAGTGGCGGAAAGTGTCAGTAGGGAAGAGGCTGTGGGGGAAAGAGACCGGGATGGTAATCCGACGGAGGGCGAGGTAATCAAGGGGACGGCGGGATAACGACCGGGGACGAAGCCCGATGCCCCGCATCGACACGTGGTCGAACTGGGGGACGGGGGGAGGGGGATCGGGATCGGCTCCATCGCCTGCGCGTCAGTGCGCTCGAAGTCTCGGCAGTAGGGTCCCCATCATCGTTCTTGGGCGCCTCTGGATCCTTGGTCGGGTTGTCCGACATCGACAGATCTGCACCACTCGCGAACTCCAGCGGCTGCTTCCTGGGCGCGATCTCCTCTCTCCTTCGTGCCGCCTTGGGATCCTCCTCCTGAGCTTTTGCGCGATCCACCTCTTCACCCAGGGTCTCCCACTCAGATTCCTCCTCTTCCTCCAGCTGATCTTCTTCCTCTTCTTCTCCTTCTCCTCCCGATTCTTCCTCACTGTACTCGTTGTAGCTTCCTTCTTCCTCCGAGGTTTCCTCCCCGCTTTCGTCTTCCACCTCCGCTTCCTCCTCCACAACTCTTTCCTCTACCACCGTTCGGGGCGAAAAGAAGAGGATGTCAATGATCGCTCGGGGGTTCAGGTACTCTGCGCGCGATGGGTAGCTGCCACCTCCCGTTCGATCCTCCAGGCAGGCTGACCACTGTAAGTACAACGTTAATCTTCGGGGAAGGACGTGGGGCACTCGACTTTCGTCACACCGCGATATGATGTCAAGGGGGAGGTCGTCGACGAGCTGCGCAAGAGGGATCGTGAGTTCCCACACGATCGTCTGCAGATGGCTTGGCTCTACTGCTCCGAAGACGAATCCGAGGAGATCTCCCTCGACCTCTGTTATCCAGGCCTGGATGATTAGCAACTTCATGCTTTCCCTCGCGGCCTGATGTTCACTGTCTCGTGTCCACGTCGGCTCCACTTCGACCAGGCACAACGAAAGAGTGAGGTAGTGCTCACACCAGATCTCCCAGTGTCTTGGTTCGATAAGGGGAACGACGAGCGGCTGGATATAGAAAGAAAGACGGGGATGGAGGGCAGACTGCCAAAAAGTGGGGAAGAGAGAGGGGAGGGCAAAGGTTGAAAACTGGGATTGGTTCATTGAGGGCGCCGAGAGGGAGCGAGTTCTGGAACTACCACCACTGGCTCGCGTCGAGACATGCGAAGCCCGCTGTCGAGCGCATCGGTCCGGCACCGGACATGGCAGCGCGGGACCCTCCCGGCCGCGTCACGCAGGAGTTGGTCTATATCCTCGTCGGGAATATACATGGAGCTTCCTCAATTCGCTCCGGTGGAGTGCTCCACCCATACCTCTCGTGAACCCCTACGATAGGATAGGGCCTACGCGAGGCACGACTTACCTTCACCTTACAGGAGTTGTCACCTCCCTTCGGTGGGCGTATCCCCGCCAAGCTACCAGTCCACAGTACGAAGGTTGATTAGCTGCAATCGCCGAGGTGGACCAGCCAAGGGCGTTTCTCGTTCGTTGTAACATAGGGGTTACCCGCGGTATTACGCCTCTATCGAACCCGCGCGCGAACCGGCATCTTGGGGGGCTGAGGTCCCAAGCGCGACTCGTCGCCGGTCGACTAGGACGCATTCCACACGCCACAAGCACACCAGTATAGAGAACATAAAAACAAACACACACACACACACACGTGCGTACATATACATATACAAAACGACACTGAACAGACAACACGACAACACTCCTAGTCCCTTAGTAGTCGTACCATAACTCTCTGATGCGGAATCGGATAGGCGTCGCACGCGAGACTTTGTCTAAAACCGCGCGGACGCAGGGCTAACTCATATCGATTCGCAATGCAAGCGTATGCAAGTGTACGCAAGCGGTCGTGATGATGGCGTACTATGTAGTACCCATACTCATGCGATCCTCGTTAATCTCGAGGGTCGCGTTCGACACTCAAGTGTAGGCTGACACGCGCTTTGAGGGTTAATCTTTCGACGTTGGACAACCGCCAAGTGCGGTTGAAGACCACACCCTCTTCTGCACCCTGCGGAGAGTGGGTGGTACACAGGTTCATACCTGTGGTGGCAATCATCTTTTATCGTCCTGGAAACCAACTCCATCATCTAGGGTCTGGAGAGAAGTCAAGGGGTTTGACTTTGACGGCTGTCACGATCTACAACGTCCATCTATAGAACTCTAAAAAGCAAAGCATAAAAGGGGATCTCCCTTTTCTCTCAAAAACATAATCTGTTTAACCCTTACGCACGGTCACAGTAGGCCGCGTGAAAACACTCAAGCCATAAACATATATATATCTATACATATACATATATAAATAAGGGTTATTTAATATAGGACGATCACTTCTCACAGTCACAGTGGGCCTCCTCTCAGCCATATATACATGTATGCGAACGCAGGCAGTCAAATTCAAAGTCCGAATCACCAAACATACCTGCAATCACATCAAAGATTCAACCAAAAGTCCAAGCACTACACGGGGTCAACTTCAACCATTCTCTGCGCTCACACCACTTGCTTTAGTCACACAAACCTCAACCTTAGCGCACCTTCTTAGCAATAAAATACTCAGTATCTTTGTTAAATGACCATTGAATAAAGTCCGGGTAAAAACACAATGAAACAGATCAAACCACAGGGCTAAAGCCTTTAGGTTGAGTGGCAAGAGTGAATTTGAGTTGAATCGTAAACCGACAAATCGACAACCGACCTGTTATACGTGATAACAGAAGGTGATCCTCATGGGATCGAGCTGAATCTAGCCCAAATCCTGAATCAATCGATCAAGAAGATCTGTAAGACAAGACAGGTCAATCCTCAAGCTAAGTCTATAAGTCCATGGAGAATAATCCCCATATCACGATCTTACTCAAATCATCCTAATTAACTAAGCCTAAGTCTACCTCTAAGCAAGTGTCAAAAGAAAGGTCGACCCTGACAGAGTCTTCTCTATACAGAGTGAATTTTCTAGAATTTTCATCTGTCAAAATATAATCTAACTCCTCTAAACTAAGAAAATTTCGGCAGCACTCCCCATAGGAAAAGTGTCTTTCCAAAATTTATATCAGCCTGAATATGAAAACAGAAATAGTCTTTAACTTTTCAAAGTTTAATTTTGTTTAACTCCCTGAATGAGCAAAAATTTGGGCAGCACTCCCTTTAGAAAATGAGACTTTCCAAATTTCTACTAAGTCATATATAAAATTTAAACAAGTTGAACTTTGAAAAGTCAAATTTTGTCTAACTCCTTGGATTTGCAGAAATTTTGGCAGCGCTTCCCGTAGAGAAAGTAGCTTACCAAAATTTATACAAAGCCAAGTATAACAAAAGATCCCAGAAAATGCGATAAATTGACCTAAGTAAAATAAACTTAGCTCAGAAAATGAAAGAATTGAAACTAACTCCTATGACTCTAGCATGTGGCGAGCAACTAAAGCAAATACCTATCAAACTGAAACTCGGACTAAGTAGTGGCCTCACTCAGCCACATCCAGGCCAGACCACAAAGGTAAATACTCTCGTCATCCCCAAAGTCATCTTAACAAACAATAGTTCATAATCTAGCTCTGATACCAGTGCAATCATACTCGACTTCTTCACACTTCTGATTATTCAACTTGTCATGTATGCAAACAGCGAAACAGCAACTGGCGACATGCGCCCACACAATACTCAAGATATCGTAACCAGATATGAGTTCTCTTCAACTGGCTATGGCGACTGGGCGCCCACACAACTCACTGTTCGCACTCTGGATCACCCTGGATGTCCCACACGCAACACTCAGTATTATACTTCACACACCACACATGCTAGGCTACAGCTATGGCAGCGCTAGCT